TTACTTCGTGGACACTGACAGGGGGGTTGTGCGACGTAACTGAACTCATCTTGTTCCTTTTCCTGCAAATGTCCGGGAGGCGGAATTTGTTGACAGCGAAGATGCTCAAGAGCCACTTACAGATAGCGAAAGCCATCTTTATTCACACACGAGAAGTGGCCGATGCGCGAAGGCTCCCCAGAGACTTTGACTCTTCTGTATCGGGGAGATGTTGGATAGTGCTACACTGAACAGCCGAGCTGATTGAGCTCCGTCGCTCGTGCGCATGGACTCGTGCCTTGCGCCCGTGCCTATAACGTACCCGGCTCTGAGCCGATCGCCATATATTAAACCTCTTGTCTTACCGTGTTATTGTGTCACCGTTCCCTGGTGCAACTCGGAACACGACTTGCAACAGAAAGACAACCTTTTTCGGCGTATTTCACTTGGTTGCATCTGCTTACCACACCTTTATGTCAAACAACTTGTATCACTTTTTTTTTCTGCGGGACTAGGCACAACCATATCTCCACACGATGATACAAACTGAATAATATCCCATGCACCATCGTTTCTGGTCTCATCTGTGATTTCTAAACCTATGAGAAGCGTAGGTTTTGTAAACGAAGTAGTCGATTCGTTTAACTTGTTATCCACAAGATTTTGACGGGAATACCTCTCGTAGTGACATGGAAAGAACTCACACGAGCACTTTTAGACACACAATTCCCAGGCCCTCTTTATGGGCATTGTTTAATGATGGTCCGGGTAAAGATGTACTACGTCGAGTTAAAAAGTTGTATGCAGTAAAAATATTATTTTTTAAGCTACGGACTGATAAATTTCCCGTGAAAATATGGATGCAACGAAGAGGAAATTTTGTTCCGTGGTCGGTCTACTGTTGACTGTGTAAACAGCTGGAAAGTGTTGATTGCGTTTTTAGTAACTGTTGATGTGCTGTACTACTCTGGGACATCTTAAAGCAAACTTTAAAAAATATCTGCCTATAATGCCGCTCTCCAATCGTTTTATTTTAGTCGACAAACATGAAAAGGTTCTATTCGACCTTTTCATGCTCCTTGAGCTTCTCACTCTTTTGAAACTATGCATGACAGTGAGACACGCAGATATTAACTCCCAGCCTGCAAATGTACATTTCACTGAAAAAAAATTATATAATAGGAGGATTTATGCTCCCACACAGGGTGCCACAGAATGGGCTCGATTGCTAGAAAACATCCTTCAAGTAAATCAGTTGTAAGGTAGACTCATGATTTAACCATTCACGTGAAGTATTCATCAGGACTGCACAAGAACCGAAGTAGGACTGACATGATTTCCTCGTCCATCCATGCATGTTAGTTACGTGTAAGTACGGAATTCTGGGAACGTTTGACATCGAGGTTCAAGCGCCTGGAAATAAATCCAGCGAGTAAGGTTTCATATGATTCCCAGCTTTAGGTAGTATGTAGTGTAAATTGTCACTTAATAAATATATAATACTTAATAAAAAATGCTTAAATAAAAAAAAGCTGAGGCGTAGCTCAGTGGTTACGTCTTCGCTTCGCACGCAGCGAACTCAGGTTCGATTCCCGTTGGTGGCGGGCGATCTCCTTCAGAGATTTTGCAACATCGACGACGGACGACTAATGTCGTCAATTACAACAACAACTACTACCGCTACATCTAAAACTTCAGCATCAACAACGAGCGTCATTTCCAGTGGTTCAAAGAGCCTATAACATTTATCGCTGTAAAAATGTGCCGCACATCCTGCGACGGTTAAAAAGGGGCGACCATTCCGGAACACCTTCTTCCGCTGCTTCTATACGCACGCTAGGGTAAGGAATGTTCTGATCATATGATGACTTTCGAAAATTGGCTGAAACTTTTCAGATGATCAGAGATATAAAAATAAACCGGTCTGGCGGGATCGAAACAACGTTCCTTTGCGTGACATAAAGGTGCGCTGCCAAATCCCCCTCGCTGGCAGCAATATCAGCACCGTAAGCATCAAGCCTTGCAGAGGTTCGAGAATTGTTCGGGATGGGGGGGGGCGGAGCAAACATTATCCCCCACCCCCTTTTCTTTGTTTCTGGGGCTGATGACGCACGTTTTCCTTTCAGATTGCGGCTCCAGAACATAAATATAAAAATACGAAAAGCCGGGAAGAGTCGTCGTAGAGGAGGTTAAGATAGCGGTAAACCGATGATATTAATGCTCGCATAAGGTGGGCACTGAGAGGAATTCGAACCCCATTCTTCTGCGTGATTGCTATTGCGTTGCCAACTCAACCACGCAACCGCTAATACAGCCTATACTTCGTTTCACCTTTAAGTCCAGATGCAGCCGACGCTACTTGCTGATGGGATCAATCGTACGGCTGCAAAAGCGCACAGTCATGGTGTTCGTCATGTTTCTGTACGTGTTTTTCTCAACTGAATCAACCATGAACAGAAAAAAATCCTGTCACTTGCGCTTTTGACGCTGCATGCTTGGGCTCTTAGCGTCGGCTGCGTCTCGATTTAAGCTGAAACGAAGTATGGAAACTATCGCCTATGGAGCATATACACGATATCCAAATGTAGTATAATATTAAAATTATTACATTTATAAATCTAAACATAATATATACATAGTTTTTATTTAAGGGCTTTTCACATTTTTTTTTTAAATCCGCGACTGCGTTATAGTTACGCATGTTATTTGTTTAGAGGGACAATACATAAGGGGCTAATCGTCACGATATGTAGAATAATTAACTCAAATTAGAAACTTGCTGAGTGTTGTCGAGAACAAACTAAATCAGTAAATTTTATAAAGGATCACCGCACCTGAGAAAGGCGGTGGTGCGCTGAAGTTAGCACTCGCGCAACAGGCGCAAGGCTGACGGTGCCAAAACGCGGATGGAATATTATCATTCGTGTATATCATCCCAAACCATCAAATCAAAGCATATTGAGTAGCATCGTCTCAAAGTGGATATGGTTCGATTGTTTTGACGCATTACTTTATTTTTGAAATCTGGGAATCGGCACCTCGACAGGGAATTATTTTTTGGACAACTCAGACCTGAAATGAAAGCGGAATATCAAATGTGGAGCCCTCGAACGCATCCTGGTGCTTTGGCAAATAATTCAAAATGAGAAATGTTCTAGAAGACCGCTCTCGAAGTGTGGATAGATCGGCTGGTTTGACACATCCGTTCATCTCTCTTTATTTTTTTTTTAAATTCGGGCACACGCGCCTTATTTGGAAATTTTTTCAACTGGGCCTAGCACTTAACTGGTCACAAAATACGAAATTTGGAGCCCTCGACTTTAAGCTTCGGCAATGGAAAATCATTTAAAATTAACCAGATTGAGAAACTTGCCTTAAAGTGGACATGGTTTGTCTGTTTTCACGCATTTGTTCATGAATTCATATTTGGGCAGCCGGGCCTTGTTTGGGGACGGGTTGAGATCGACCAAGTCCTCAGCTGGAGACAAAATATAAAGTTTAATGCCGCCGACTAAAAGCCGGTGCTATTTCAAAATCTTGTGCTTCAGCCCTCTTCGACCGGAATGTCATACCAAGTTAGATATTTTCGTAGGCTCATCTCTTCATTTTTTTTTTCGGTTTCTGTGCAAGGCGATTGGGATAAATCATTTCATGAAAACATTTTGTATTTGCCTAAATAATACTTTTTGACATGTAAATGTTAAGTTAATCAGCACAATCATCCACTCTAAATTCGTTTATTCACCGCAGTGATCATATTCTTTAGAATGAAAATCACATTGTTATAATCACATCAAACTAATTATTAGCGAAAATATTTTAAAACCTTTTTTTTATAATTTTAGGTTATCGGAGGATAAAACAGCTGATTGTTTGCTAGTTTATTGGCCTCAGTTACACAATACTTTAAATGATCGTAAACGGCTCAACCAGAACATATCTACCTTATTCGGCAAATTGGTTTCAGGAACCCAAGAAACTAGTTTTGAGAAACAAAATGTAACCAGCATATCATCGCTACTCCTGGCTCAGCACAGTTGGAGGGGAAATCTTCTAATTTGTTGTATGTCTACATTGCGCTCTTTTGAACTTCAATGTTTCTCAAATCTTCTCTGTGGGCCTCCGAAATGTGTTTTTCTACATACAGGTGTAATACACATTTTAAACACTACCGAATTTTCCATATTTTTGGGGTGAGATTATATTTAATTGATGCCATCATAACGAGTTTTTCATAGCCAAGAGTGAACCGTACACTTCGATTAAGTTTGATACTATTCGTAGTGACAATATATCAAAACACTTCTTCAACTGAGGAGCCTGCAGTTCACACGTCATCACCTTGAACTTTTGGCACAACAATAGTGGTATATGCTACAATCGAGTAGTAGCATGGCAAACCGTTCAATGCGTAACGTTTCAGTGTGATGGCCATATTTGTATATTAAATACGTGAACGTCTATAGGAGCGTTTTCGGAACCCACTAAAGACGATGAATAATGATATGACACGAATTTCTGGATATATACTATATTGTTAACTTTTTCAGCAATACAAAAACAAATGAGTAGTGAAGCCCTTTTTCCATACAAATTAAAATTGAAATTCTCTTAATATATATACGTATATATATATATATATATATATATGTGTATATATATATAGTGGGAGCATTGTTATTTGCTCTTGTTACTCTTCGCGTGTGTTGACACAACTTTCCGAAAGGAAAGTTGTCTCAACTTTAACGTTAACGTTAACTTTATTGTCAACTTCAACGCTCACGTGTAACGTTGACTTCCACTCAGCTCCAGTTGATGCATTCTCCATATACTGTTGCACTCTGCTTATGGACACCCAAAAGAGCCTTTTGATAGAAATTAGGAATCTTTAAATTATGTTTAATGTACACGAGGTACGTACGAAGAATGCTGCTAGAGAACGAAAGGGGTAAAACAAAAGGTTTATATCCCGTTTGCTTCTGTACCGTTCACTTTTACAAAGCTCGCTAAAAAGCACTCACCTCAAAAACAGACGTCACTTTGAGGTCGTACAACACAGGGATGATGACTTTAGCCACGATCAATGACACAAGCGGCGCAGACGTGAAGTTCCACAGGTAGTGAAAACCGAAGGTGTAGTAGTGTCCGCTGAATCCGATGATCCCAATTGCCGACAACATTGACGCCAGGACGGACATGGCCAACGGTATCGTCTGCATTGTCCGACTTCCGAGAAACATCTCATCCGTAGTCGTGGCCTTCTTCCGGCGGTTGAACGCGAAAAAGAGTCCCAGTCCCAGGTTGGCGCACATCAACGTCCCAAAAATGGCGTATTCAGCAAAGTGATGCATATTTGCTTTTTCTCTTGAGGACCAGTTGGTAGTGCTGATGCGGACGCCGAGCTGCGTTCCTTTGGATCCGCGAATGAAACGTTGCACTGAGTTATTTACCAACCGTTACATTCCCGCTTTCATGCGCCCGTACTAACAGTTCTTTTTTATTGCACGGCAGCCGCGTGAGCAGGTACGTTTCGTAACGGGGGAGGAGCTTCTCGTTCATTTACACTGCTGCGCAGTCAGCTTCGCATTGAATCTCTCACTTTAATCTTCCTCAACCTCACTGGACCGAACAGTGTATAATTAAGCTGACGCTAACCTCGGCTTTTATCAAGCTACAACGGCTGGCTATCATATCGAGCGAGGCCAAGAAGGGGAAGGTACAATTTCTAGGCTCCAACGCCAGCCGACATTTCTCTTATAAAGGGGATCAACAGCGTAGCTCTGCTACTAACCGTGTCCTTCTCGGAAGGAGGTGTGCACAAATCACGACCTTGCGGGTTTCCCGTTCGTGTTTTTTTAGTTGTTTATTTATATCGTTTCTATTCCTCTCCTTTCGTTTTGCGCGGGGCACTTTGCGGGCGTTTCTGTTTCCTGCTTGTTTTCCGAATTCGCGCTATTTTTTTCATTTTGTAGTTGTTGAGCTATAGGGTGCAACTCATTTTTTCTTAGACAGGTAATCCGTACGCCAACACGAGAAAATGGCTTGGCTGAAGTACATATGCATTTATACTAGTGATTTTAATATAGTTGTAAAACCTACAGGCTTAAAGATTAGAAGTCCAAAAATAAACCCAGCGATGACCATATGAGTGCCATTTTTTATGAGCTCGAAATAGGTATTTAGCTTCAGTTCTTAAATATCATTATTAATACCTTGAATATAGTGCTCTGAAATGAGTGAATGTGGAAAAATATGAACTTACTGGTTCACGGCAGAGTCAACCTCCCACAGCATTGAATATCCCTTTCCCCCTTCCATTTATCCAAAAAGCAAAGATACTTTGAAATCAAAAACGCATTCTTGAGCCACACGCTCCGCTTTAACATTTTGTTCGATGAGACAAGACGAATGAACAAATAATATTTCTATTTGTTTTTCCCTAATTAACGAAAGTCATTGGTGATACGTAATTCGAAAGCCTGAGGTACCTTGGAGGTATGGTTCCCCTTATGTCTGTCAGTAATTTACAAGTTTTTGTTATTTATAATTGTCTTATTAATCGACAATTGGACGACAGGCTAATAAACGTGTTGGGAATCATAGTGCTGCATCGTAAAATGTGTTGATTACAGACGCCCTATTGTTCTGTCTGACGTGCTGCTGGTCTTGTACAAATAACTCTAAAAAAGGAAATGCTATCAATTACAGTTACTTTCTTGTTGAAACTATTCAGTTGGATTACTTGACTACTTGAAACAAAACGTCATTTAACGTTTTTTTAGAAAAGTGGGCTTCACTTTTTTTATTACTTCAGAAGCTTCAGGACGTTATTTCTGCAACAATTTTACAATACCACATATTAAAAAAGTAAAAAAAAAAAAATTAATCGGATATCATGCGATTTTATACGTTTAATGCGTCGAATCAAACAAGCAAGGTAAGCTTTTTAAAAAATGGTTACATGCAAATAAAACATCGAATATCAGCGTAGTCCGCAAAATTAAAAGTGAGAATTTATCCAGACTTGTATAAATACTTCATCGGTACCCTCTGTCATCGGAAATTTAATTGAATATTTTATGGAAACGTTTTAGAGACACGTATAACTTTTGTCTCCAATCTGTAAGACGTATATTAGTAACAATCTCCGTGTCACCGATTGTGCAGATTGCTGAAGTATTTAATCACCACTTTAAATTTTTCTTTACGAGTGATAATGGACGTGTGCCACGCTACGCAATACATGAAAACCTGCCAAGCGCCTCAGACAGTTCAATTTTACAGTGACGATTTTAACATGCGGCTTAGCTTAAACAATATTTGAAGGACCTAATTGTTTCCCGAAAACATTTTTGAGGCAGTGCGCGGAACGGATGTCGAAGTGTTTCTTTGTTGTTCGAAAGATACTTGTTTGAAAGTTCACTTCCTGGAGGCTGGAAAATGATTGAGTTTAGATCAATAAATGAGACAGAAAACAATCACCATGATGGCACTTATAGGCCAATTTTGCTTACTTGCGAATCAGGAGAGTATTTTAACCATGTAAATAATAAACACATATATGATATCCTTGATTAAAATGCGGTTTTAGCAGAAAAGCAACATGTTTCCAGGCAGAAATTTTCTTCAAGGAGAAAATCATTACAAATTGCTGTTATACCATTCATGAACAGACGACGTGAAACTGATACAATTTCCATTCACTTGGCGACGGCCTTTGACAGGGTCTTGCATAGTAAATAAAGGACTATATTTTCAAAGTTAAGCGGCACCTCTATTGGTCTGTCAGTTGAACAGCATGTCGATTTTGGCTGCACTTATAATTAGTTACTTGTTGATTTCGGAATTCCCAAAGTATAGTTTGCTAGGCATTTTTTATTGTTTCAATTTTAATGGCAGTGCATACAACAGTTTTGTGAAACTTAGGTTGTATGCCGATGGCTATCTACTTTATTATGAAGTTAAGGTTTCTAATGATAAATGACAGTTGAATGAATGTTTGTGTTTTATTGAGAAGTGTATCTCTGGGCAGATATTCGATGATTGTGAAATATATATATATATATATATATATATATATATACTATGCAATCTAAGTCCACTTCAGTTTATATAAACCGTTGAAGATCAGAGCCTATCTGATTTTTCAAAGTACCGATATCTAGCGCTATGTAAAACAAGCCGTTGGAGCTTGATATATTCCCACGGTCTGTTTCAGCACACAAATGCTACAACCGGATCACTCTTGTTAATGAAAACATTGCGTAATGAGTAATATGAAGAGCGTCACCAATAAACGTGCTAGACATATGAGACAAAAAAGAATACATGTCTCCAATGACTATGTTGCATGTCATGCTCTTCGGAAACTTTTTAACCGTAATAGTTGGTCAATGTTGGAGTATGCCAACATCATTTAGGACCCTTTAATGAAATCAAACTGTTTAAGGTTGAGACAGGGGTCAGAGTGGAAGGGTCAGATTTGTATTGAACACTTATAAATGGACATCAGTCCGTAACTGATCTAGCGCAGAGAGTTGGCCTTCCTTTAATGACGGTAAGAAGTGCATGCTAACGAAGCTCTTTATACAAAAATAGCCATGTTCATTACATAATAGTCTGAATAACAAGATAACTATCTAAGATTTTCTTAAGGACGTTCTAAAAGCAAAACTAATTTCCTATAGTTTGGTTCATGTTCCATAATAGATGTCTTAAATTTTCCTTTTCAGCAGGAGTGATGGATAAGATGAAGACTTCCCCACATAGTAGTTTACCAGCAGTCTCTAGAAATGTTTAGTGACAGTTTTGTTTAGGTTTTATGTAATATTTTCTTAAACTTCTCAAAAGATGTCTTTATTTTGACTTCGTGTTTTTGTCTTATTTTTGCGGTACATTACCCAAACTGCTAAAGCCTTCTGGTGAACGGGGTAGTATTTTCAAATAAAAAAATGATTAAACATTAAGAAACTCGGCATCAGAATAAGCAAATTGGAAGAATCAATGCAGAAGGAATAAGTTGTCTCCTTCTGGCACCTTAGTTTTAAACAAAGGCAGTAGAATATTTTGAGGACGTCTATTGGTTTTAGTTGCTCAACTGCGGGAGAAAGCAGGCGCTCGAAGTAAGCTGAGCTTATTTTCCAACGTCCAAGTGTTTTTTTGTTTTTTTATTGTTTTTTCTTTAAGTTTAGCATTGCTTAAAACATATCTACAAACAAGCTGGATTATGCAGCAGTTTTGAACTTAACGAACTATTTTTGAAGATATGTTTTTTAAATAATGCCTACAGCACTTACGAATGTGCTCAACCAGTAATTATTTTTAACATGACAAATAGCTTACTTTTTTGTTACAACTAAATTTTGCCATTATTCTGTCTCGGGGCACCCGGAGCGCAGAGCTGCCTTGAGTCGTATACGAATATTCGCGAAACGGAGGAGCATAAGGTTTGAACAGTCAACAAAAACAAAACAACTGCAATCAACACCAAACTTTGCATTGAAAGTAATATGTAGAGAACTCTGATTTAACAGGCCAGGACAACACCCACATACCACCGTGTAAAATGTCCTGACAAGGTCGTACCTCTTTTCGCAAAGGTCGGCAGCAATCGTTTCATTATTTGTTGTTCTAGAGATGTTGACTCTGTTGAAGTGATCATATTGCAGCACATTACTCCTAAATGTCGTGACTAAGGGCATAGTCGTAAACACAAAAACCGAGGGATAGGCAAGGCGCAAAAAGAGAGAAGCTTAGAGGTAACGTTATTACCTTTAAAAGTAATTAGATTACTTTCATCACTAATACATAGTCAAAGTCCTCAAACAATTACAAATATACTAAAGAAAGTAATAGATTACAAGTAATTTGATTACCAGTAATGAGAACCGTACACATCTGCGTACAGCGCTTATTTATACCCAACTTACCTAGGGGTGCCTTGGTCGTTTTCCTGGCAGGAAGTACCTTGGAAATCAGTCGACACCACCAGTGACGTATGCCAAACACCGGGCAGGAAAGATGCCGATCGAAGATAGTGACAAATATAGCCACAACCTGATCAGCGGCCTCTCTCCTCAATAGTTAGAGGTCCCATCAACAACCACGCCTTTAGGGCACCATAGTGCAATAACAAAAATATTAACGATATAGCTCGCGGCAATACGACTTGTCTCCCGTCTTCGGTCCTTTACCGGTATCGTGCGATCTGGTAATGGTTTATGTTTGGTATGGTGAAGGGGACAACTGCAACCAAGGACGATGGTGATAAGAGTACAAGTACAGTGGTTCTCACAATCACCGCACGTGGAAGAATAACTTTATCCTACAAACTGTCCTTCTTTTTCGTTTTTGTTTGAATTATCCGTGATTGGATTGTACCGCCGGAAGACGTCTTTACGGTTGCCGAGGATGCTATTTTTTTCCGATTTACATCCGGAATTCATTATATAGTGACCCATTCTTTT